GCTAAAATCATGCTCCAAAACCAGCGATTATTTTTATGAAACAACAGGTAAGTCGAATCCTAAGACCGTTTAGGATTCCTTTGAAGACTTTTAGCAATTTTTCATGAAAAATAAAATATAGAGATTTCTTGCGAATTATTTTATGAAATTTCAGAGAGTTTGAAAGATACTGAAAAATCAGTTGGAAGTATAGATTTTCGACTTTAATGTTGAAGAAATACCAAAATACAGTTAATATCATTCGGATGTATACATTGGTTATTGTATTCATGTTTACTCTTTAAGTTCCAAAAATTGCAAAAAATTATTTTTTGGATTAGCAGTGATATTGAATGATGGTTGTATGCTATGGCCCCTGAAAAATAGGAATAATGTCACAGATTTATTACGTTTCCACTGAAAAGACAACTTTGGTTGTGGAAGTCGTGCTTACGAGCTTTATGGAGTTACCGTCCGTGTTCCGGGCTCAAATACCGTAAGTTCCACGTGTAGCACCCGGAGCAGTCGAAGATGCGGCATCGGCAGGCTGCAGCAGCCTGATTGTTGAAATTTTTTATTTGTCGGGACAACATGGATGACATAGGTTAAAAGGCGGAGCGTGATTGGTCGGCTATGTCTAATCGCTGGTTTGTCGTGCCTATGTAGGATTGAACTCACGACAATCTAAAGGCACCTCTTAAGTTTCCGACAGTATATCGTTCATTCCACCTGACAAAGGCACGGCAAATCAGTGCAGGTTGGGTTAAGTTAGGTCACGCAACTAAACTAACTCTCCGGCGAAGCTGGAAGTATCACCTAAATTGAAGGCGTCTCAATCCTGAGTTTTTACTCACTGTTTCTACAACTTAGATTCTTTGGATCATTCGAGGCTCTTTATCTATTTTAGTACAACACGGGCAGTCGTGCTGCGGAAAAGCGGCTCATGGATAATTCGATGTTGCCAAATTTCTTCTGATTGCCGTGGGTCCATTGATTTCCTAGTGAGAATCTTTGTCACATGCACCCCTCCTTTAAGATGCGATTAATTCAAAATCAAAATCTGCAGTTTTTGTCAACAATTTCATGTCCGACCTCACTGATTGACTCGATCCACTGTGCGGCGGTGGGGCCCCCTGCGCGGAAAAATTTCTTAATCTGGGTGTCTAATAAAAAAGGCTGACCGAAAATCAGTACTTTTACAGTGCATTCCCAAGAAATTCAGTACATCCTCAACAGGAATATTCAGTATTTTTTCAGTACCTCCATTTGACGAGATTCGACAAATTTCAAAAATTTGAAATTCTCGCTTAATTAGCGACAAAAATGACAAATTGCGAGTAATATTCCGGACCTTCTTGCGGAATTTCCGCACTTTTTTCAGTACTTCCGGACTAGAGTCCCTTTATACGGAGAGTCAAGACAACACCCTTCATGGAGTCACAAACGGGAATAAAGATTACAGAAATTGAACGTTTTTCGTAATCTTTGATCGGCCCATTCTCGAATTCCTTCCCTCATTCCGTTTGTTCCTTGCCGAACCCGTAATTCCCCGGTCCATTCCAGATTATAATCTTTGCAATCGGTGAAACTGTAATCTTTATTCCCGTTTGTGACACTGTGAAGGCCTAAAATACGGGAACCAATCAGAAATGGATTCAAATTGTCTTGACTCTCAGTATAAAGGGACTCTACTTCCGGACCGCCCTTATAAAATCAGTACCATTTGCGGACTTGCAGACACCCTACTAATACGAGTTGCCGCAGATTCACCTTGACTTGCGACAAAATCTTGGTGTTCCTTGCGAAATTCATCATTGGAAGGAGGGATGAGTGGTAAATTCTCGAGAGCTCACTTGGCGTGGACATGAGGGCGAGGAGGTCGCGAGTGGGCACTGCGACAAAAGAGCTATCGACCGAGGCGGGGGACCGGGGTCTCCGATACCGCTGCGTTGCTGATATGTTAAGCGCAAGCAGGAGCCGGAGACTGCACAATGCCGAGCACGAGCACGGGTCACGTGGAGGGGTAGCAGATGGGGTCGCGGAACCCGGGCTCCGAACCCCATCGCATCCTCACAACTTGTTGCTTCCTCGTCATTACCCGCCATCAAATGCCCACTACCGCGCCTCCTCCCCCGAGCACTCATTACTCCAACCGGTTTCACCCCCTCCATCCCCCCCCCCCCCCTTCTACGACTTTCGTCGAAAATTCCGCAGAGACAGATAGACTCCTCTAGATTACCTGTATAGGGAGAGTATGGACAGATCTGAAACTCCGAAAGTCCATCAGGCCTTCACCGATGCCTCCGCGAGGGCCCAAAAAGGCAGCCAACCTATGAATTTCGAATGTCCAGAGCGATTTACAAGTACAATTGTTACGAACCGTCGTTTAGAAAGCATGTATTTGGCTTACTTTTTGCATAAATTTACTTATTTTTGCGAAAGAACGCTCGTTTATGTACATTCTTAGCCCTCTTGGTTAGAATTGAAATCTGTAGGCTGGCAGTGAAATTTTGTGTGTTAGAAGTTGCTCAGAGGGGTGGCTGCACTTTTAGGCCCTAAGCCCTCCATGAACCGATCTGTCCATACTCTCCCTATACACTATACAGGTACTCTAGACTCCTCTGCAGGCTGAAGTCTCTTTATGCTGAGAGCAAACACTGGAAAACAAAAACACATTGGATCTAGAGGCCACACTCTTGAAAACATTGAGACGAAAAGGGATTCTTCATTCAATCAGATTGAAGCTTAAATTGAAAGGAAATCCGCTCAAGTTAAGAGGCTCGGTCCTTGATTTAAGCTTAAATCTGATTGAATCAAGAGTATTTTTTCTTGTCGATGTTTTTAAGAGTCTGGACTCAAGACCCAATGTGTTTCTTTTCCAAGGAAGACAAAGCGAATCCATTTCTGAATGGTTCCTGTAATTTAGGCCTTCGAGGCCTGGATACACGCTCGAATTTCCGTCAATTGCCGATCAAAATGATGACAAAAATGGCGGTCGAGAGTTATCTAGATTGATGGGTAAAATTAATTAAAACGGCGTGTTGATTGAAATGAGCATGAAATAAGCACGGTTGTGTGGAAATCAGATGACGGATGAGACGCACAGTTCCATCATCTACCGTGAAATTTTTGCAGGCCGCAAAAAATTGAGGGTGGATGGTGCGCACCAGTCACCATTTGATCGGAAATTGATGGAAATTTGAGCGCATATCCAGGCCATCATTGTGTCACAAACGGGAATAAAGATAACGCTTTCACCAATTGCAAAGATAATGAACCGGGATGGACTGGGGTATTGGGGGTGCGGCAAGGAACAAATGGAGGGAGAGAGGGCAAGGAGACAGAAATTCAGGAATGGGGTCATCGAAAGTTAAAAAACCGTCTCATTTGTGTAATCTTTATTCCCGTTTGTGACATCCATAATCAGCGTTGGACCAACTCTCTCTATGAAGGGACTCCAGTGCAGGCTCCATCCGATAGGAGGAATATTATTCCGTTGGATACGGGGTGGATTTTTGGCAATTTTGAAAGCCTTTTCCTCGGCTAAAATGCGAAAAGATTCGGCCGCGTGAGTAGACCTCTACTAAATATATTTTCGGAAAATCATATCATCAGGTGTCAGAGCGTCTCCCCCGCGAACCTCGAAATAGCGGCGGAGAATACATACATGGAAGTCACTCCTACGCAGAGGCGCACTGGCCCACTGGGAAATCGAAGAACTCCTGGTGGGCCGGTCGAAAGGTAAAAGAAAGAAAGAGAAAAATAAAATAAAATAGAGGAGAGGAGAAAGAAAAAAAGAAGGGGCAAAGAAAACAAGAGGACACCAGGTGATGAAAAGAGCTCTTGAGTATATGAGTAGCTTTGAGACACCTTAGAGAGTGAGTCGGCTGCACAAATTCTAAGAGGGCCAGCGGCTCAAACTCAGATCGGCCCTTCGAAAATTCCCGAGACGATGAAAATTTTTGGTCGCGAAAATTAAAAGAGGCCCACACCATAATCCTCCGCGTGACTCTGACTGGCTCATTTCAAAAAAGAGCGAGGACGCTAGAAATTTTGGACCGTATCAATTCATAAGTTGGCCGGAGGCACAAATCTTGACTTCGTTCATGAATTTGACCAGCTCTCTAAAAATTTATGAGACGCCAGAAAATTTGGGGCGTTTCAGTCTAAATCATGATTTTTTTATAAATCTGATAGGCCTGCCAGCAATTTTGGGTCATGCCAGTTTAAAAGTGGGCCGGTGGCCCAAATCATAATCTTCTACATGGATTTGACTGATTCTCCAAAAATTTTTACGGCGCTAAAAGAAGTGAGGGTTGCTACCTTTAAAACATGACTGCGATTAAAATTGTAAAATGATAATAAATAAAAAATTCCCGAATTTGTTACATGCAAAAATTTGAAAGTATTTTGTGCTAGAAGTAAGTGAACAGCGGAATTTTTCCGCAGAGGTCGATCGAAAATATGTGTCACGGAAGACTCAAAATGCGTCCAATAATAGATTTGAAATTTCACAAATTTTCCGGGGGAGGCCTCCTGGAACTGGGACTGGACTGGGGAGTCAATGAAAGAGCCTACAAGTAAAAGTCGTTTCCCTTGCGTGCTTCTATTTAGAAGTATTTATAAAAATATATAAATGCAAAGAAGGAAATTACTTGCGTTTTATGTCAATTTAAATCAATTGAAATCATAGGTAAAATAATTCCAACGTACTGTACAAAACTTCCAAATAATATGTTGAAAACCGGCGACGCCGCAAGTTTGAATAATCGCGTCCAACACAGTGCGGCCAGCGCGGCGCGAGGCTACCGCGTACGGCACAAAACGCATAGTGGCGTCTTATTAGACCGCAGGATACTTCAAGCACTGCGCGTACAGCAGCGGTGCACGCAACACGCAACGCATGGCAGCAGGCAGCGCCTTACAAGTCTGCTGGATACTTCATGCATTGCGCGTATAGCAAGGTAGCACTTTGACGTGTAGCTAATGAATTAGAGTATACAAAGAAGGGAAAATCTTACCTAATAGAGCTTGGAATAGTCGTGACTTGAAGATTCTGATGACGCGTTCGATGGCGAGTCGAAGTTGCTTGTCTTGAGGTCGAGTCAATTTGGCGTGGTAATCCTCCAAGAGCTCCAATGCACGATGAGCTTCTGGAACAAACAGACGACTTAGATGTTGCTGAGGGAGTAAGCATAAAGGTCAAAATATCAAGTTCCCGATCTTCCGTATTGAAATACTGTCGAACTCTGATCGACGCTGGTCGGTCAGTTCCGCAATGCAGGGGACTCAGATGCCAGGAGACGTTCAAAGCGACGTAAACATTCAAGCTTTACGTGAGGGCGAAAGATTAAGGAACGTCTTGGATGACCGGGATACTTTCCTGGCACCGCTGAGCAGACTTACGACACAAGGTCTACATCATCAGCTCAGACGGGATGAATAAGGAATATACAATGTTGCTGTTTCTCACTAACAAAACAAGAGATACAGTATTGCGGGACCTCGCGTGTGTTATCTAGCAGAGGCGGATCCAGCAATTTGGCAGCAGCGGATTTCCTTCATTTAAAGCTATGGTAAATAATTTATTCTTGACAGAGCACCTGACCCCTCCAAGAATTCGAACATTTCCATAGGTTTAAATGGAAGAAAACAATCTTCTCAATTTGTTGGATCCGCCAATTTTATCTGGCAATATTAGGGCAATAAACGGCAATAAATTCCCCGTCTTATCCCCGATCTGACAAGATTCAATAATAATTCCCGGTTTTCCCGGGGTTCCAGACGTGTAAACGTTCTAATAAGTTGTTCTTAATGAAAATTTTTTACAATGTTTTGAGAGGCCGCTCACAAAATACGTGACGCTATATTTCGAATTTTTCCCCCACCCCAGTGACGCTCCTGAGGTCCCTAACTTTTAACATGTAAAGAACTGGAGAAAAAAGTCACTTGGATCCTGAGTCTAAACGCTTAAAAGTTTAATGAGAAAAAAGGCTCCTGATTCAATCGGATTTTTGTTTGAATCAAAAGGAAATCCGCTTATTTTGGAGGCTGCACTTCAAGCAAAAATCCGATTGTATCAAGAGTATTTCTTTTCGCCAAACTTTTTAGGACTCCGGACTCTGGATCCAATAAAATTTTGCTCTAATTGACCCCCCGGAGCGTTACCTAACTCGAGGTTTCCGACAGTATATCGTTCATTCCACCTGACAAAGGCACGACAAAGCAGCGATAAGACATAGCCGATCAATCACGCTCCGCCTTTTAACCTGTGTCATCTATGTCGTCTCAACAAACTATAAATTTCAACAATCAGGCTGCAGGTTGGGTTAAGTTAGGTCACGCAACTAAACTAACTCTCCGGCGAAGCTGGAAGTATCACCTAAATTGAAGGCGTCTCAATCCTGAGTTTGTACACACTGTTTCTACAACTTAGATTCTTTGGATCATTCGAGGCTCTTGATTTAAAATCAAAATTTGCAGTTTTTGTCAACAATTTCATGTCCGACCTCACTGATCCACTGTGCGGCGGTTGGACCCCCTCCGCGGCAAAATTTCTTAATACGAGTTGCCGCAGATTCACTTTGACTTGGGACAAAATCTTGGTGTTTCTTCTGACATTCATCATTGGAAGGATGAATGAGTGGTAAATAGAATTTTGCTTTCATTGATCCCCCAGAGCGTTACGTGTTTTACGAACGGCCCTGTAAATAAAATTTTAAATTTTAACAGTGTAACTCTTTTGACACTGAATTATTGCGGTGCGCTTTAAAAAGTTCGCGTCTCTTATCACTAAACGAGTATATTGCTGAATGGGTTCCAGAGAGCGGGAAACCGAGCGTGCATTCGGGCAGGATGTCCGGCGCGGCGGCCCAAGTGTGGGCGAGGACAGATTAGGGCGTTTATTTACTCCCTGCTCTGCGCGGTTCGCCCCTCGATTTAACGGGGTGAAAAAACCCGCGGAACTTAAGCGCTCATAAAAACCTCGAACTAACAATGAGCTTGGATTGGACTTGCGTCGTTCTTGCGGAGTTGGAGAGGCTTGGGTCCCAGGGTCCGCGAGCGAGTTCATTCCAGTCGTCAATCGGCCACGCTAGACTGGCGAGCGGCCAATTTTTCTCCGACTCCGTGCCGTCTTGCACCGAGTGTGATTTCGGTGCATTCATTAAAAATAAATCCAAGCGGGTGCACTCCTGGCATTGCAATCGCACACGACGCGACGGGCGAAACGCGTTTCCCGATACCGCCGCCAGGCAGCGCCATATCCAGGTGCGCCACCGCCATTCATAAATCCCAAAACTACCTCTACTCCAGGGCGTAGTAGACCGCATAGAGTCGTAATGTAAAAAGGAGAGCTCTGCTGTGCTAAGGAAGAACGCCGTATGAACATTCGAGAGTTGCCAAATCACCCCGGATAAAACATGTGTTTTAGAGAAAGATTATGCGTACGATTCCTTGAAATTTTCAGACATTTTAGACAAAATTGCGAAAAAAGTTGTCTCAAAAAATTGAAGAAGAACATTCAAAATTTTCCCAGTAAATTAGGTCTTTATTGAAGGAAATGTGGCAACGGCTAAAGATTCATACGGCGTTCTTCTTTAGCACGGCAGAGCTAGCGCCACATTCATAAATTTTCCAGGTCCTGAATTCCGAGACTCCTGTGCTGTCACGCCGGGTCATTTTCCGATACATATAATCGATTGTTTTCGATAAACGAGAACCTGGCCATCCGATGTAAACAAAGAAGAGCTACGTACCCTACGCTCCAGAGTCACAGACAGTGGTTGCTTCAGTTCCTTCGAGAGCAGAGACGGAAAATTTCTAACTGAAAATTTTGCTGAATTTTCTTCTGATCTCATCTAAAAGTCAGCAACTTTTGGAGAAAAAAATGGCATTGGTACTTGTGAAAAATTTAATTTTTCTAGTAAGTTTTGCAACCATCGAATGGAGTTACGCTCCTGCGTCCGGGAAACGACGATATGACCTCATACTATCCAGAATGGAAATGTTGCATGTTTGAGGAATTTGCGATTTGACTACTGGTTATTATGTAAAAGTTCGCGAGAAACACAATTTTGCTACTGGTTTTCTCTGAAATGAACTCCCAAGCTCAAAAAAAGCTCTCAAGTTGCGGCCAAAATGGAGGGGATATCCCACGCTATCCTGAGAGTCCACCTCTACATCAAAACAAACTCTCTACGCAAAGATAGGAAGCAAGTACATTAGCAGGGTTGCCGTGTTTTCAGTTTTGGTGTCCCCAAATGAAGTGGCAGCCCTGTCAATGTATTTGCTCCCTATCTTTGCATGGAGAGAGTTTGTTTTAATGTAGAGGTGGACTCTCAGGATAGCGTGGGATATCCTCTTCATTTTGGCCTCAACTTGAGAGCTTTTTTTGAGCTTGGGAGTCAATTTCAGAGAAAACCAATGGCACCATCTTGTTTCTCGCGAACTTTTACACAAGAATCAACAGTCAAATCGCAAATTCCTTACACAAATACACATGCAACATCTCCATTATTTTTAGAGGAAGGAGCACACAATAATGAAGTGCGGGGGTACCTAAAGTAATTAAAACGATATTAAAATACGTATTAGACTGAGGTTACTGTAAACACTCTCTCAGTTTCTAAACGTAAAGAATCCCGAACGCATAATTGGCAACCTTGGAAGGGGCCATCCTGGATGGAGTCCGACACCAGCGCCGCGCTGGAGCCACGGCGAGAAGCGGGGTTACTTCAAATTGAATTACCCGGCATTTGCGGTGAATAAATGACCCGACTTCAAAGGCCCTCGCACGGGCCCATGAGCAGCCCCCGTATATTTTAATTCCCCGTATAAATTATGCTCCTCGAGCCTCTTCTTTAACGCAGCCTTGTTTGTAAGTTTTATTGCAGGATACACCGCACGTTCCGAAAACTCAGCTTAAGGAGACGTGCGCGGAGAGCTCCTCTTCCGTGCTCAGGAAGAACGCCGTGTGAGCCACCAGGCGTCGCCAAATTCCCTTCAACAAATCACCAACTTTCAGGAACATTTGTGAACAATTCTCTACCGCTTTTTCAGAGGATTGCTTTCGTAAGTTGATCGAAAATGTCTGAAATATGCAAGGCAAAATATTCATAACTTTTCCGATAATAAACATTTTCCGAGAGGAAATTTGGCAACATTCGAATGCTTATACGGCGGTCTTACTTATACCACGGCAGTTCTGTGATTTCCCTTCCGTCGCGGAGCTCACAAACAAAATGGACGTATTTCTGCCAAACGGAACTATGTGCATTAGGACGTGAGCCCTGTTATGCGTATACTCTCATGGGTCTCAGGGCTCATGTCTTAATGCACATAGTTCCGTTTGGCAGAAATACATCCAAATGTATTCGAGCCCTTGCACTCACTGCTCCTACCGAGATTATGGAACATCCTCGTTTTATCAGAGGGCTGATTATTGACATTTAGAGACACAGAGATGGAGAAAGAAGACAGTGGTAAAATGGAGGGATATATCCTATGGGTTGAAGTGGGTGAATGTTATAGACAAGAGGAAAAATGATGGGCTAACCATAGGTTCTCTCGTGGGTTGCCATTAGTTACTCTTTTGAAATCAAGGTTAGTTCTTGTCTATTGCAAGCACCCGATTTCACCGATAGGATAGGACCGCTCCATTTCCTCTTTGGCCTCTTTGTCTGTCGCTTGTCTATCACGACGCCGACCCGCCGAAACACACGTGACGAGGCAGGGTCTTATCAACCGGCGTGTTTACGTTAACATCTTCCTTACTTAAAGACCATGGTGCTTCCTCACGATTTGCGCGCGGAGGCGTCAGGCATGTTGAATATTGTGTAGCATCCTAGTGCGCAAGCGTTGGATAGAACAATTCCTCTTACGAAATTTTCACTTGTGCTGTAGTATCGTTTTTGAAGCGGGAAGCTTAAAAAACACATAATTCTTGCGCAGACTGTGAAGTTAGAAATGTATTCCGGACTTTCTCATCGTAAGTTTTGAGCCATTTTCTATAAGAAATAGCTCCAGTCTTTGATCTGACTGAAGTTTGCAACAGGCATATTGTGCACCAATAGCTGTAAAGGTATTCACTTTCAACTTGGCCTTCGGTGGGAGTAGTTATTAAGAGCTGTTTCCTCCGAAAAGTGTCTAGCAG